TCAACGGATTACTTATCAACAATTCTTCATACCGTATCCTGTGAGTTGTGGTATGAATTAACTTCAAAAAGTTCTCGTTAATGTATAAATACTCATTAACTAAACAAGATATAAAAGAAATCGACAAAAAGAACTAGATGGATTTTGAATATGCAAGGTATCCAATCATCACTTGTTATTTGCGATACTCCACACCTTAAAAAATTGATGCTAAAAATAATTTTTCTTTCTTCCTCATACAGTCAAGAATAGTTGATTTTTAAATGAATATGTAATATAAATCGTTGGACAAAAAATGAGGGAACTAGGTGAAAATCATCTGTACATAGAACTTCAAAAAATCAACGAGAAAAATTGTAACATACAAAAGCGTAATAGGAAGCTATGGGTTTATATTACGTACTTTCACATGCTTTCAACTAATTCCGATGTAATACTTCCATATCTTTTTTCTTTGCAAAATAATGAGTGTCAAACTATCCTAGAAATAAAACAAGGTACCTGGTCCACTGCAGATATTCAATACCTTAAATTTCTTGAATTAATAAAAAATTCTAAATCCTGCAACAACTCCCTGACCTAACCATTTTAGAGTTTGATAACACCCATACTTTGAGGACCGAATCCATAAACCTACACGAATAATAGCAACCACTTGGTGATCTGCTCTTATAGAAGTACTTCTTTCACTGATGTAAGAAACATGTTCTGTTCGAAACCAAACTACTGTAATGCATTTCACGCGAGCGACCACCAAAAATTTAGCCTGTGATTCCATGTAACATTTGCTTCCTATATGTAAATGTTCATTTCAGTTATGGTAAATGCTTTTATTAAATGCAAACATTCAAATCAAAACAACGACAGGAAGTCAATTATCCCGTCTTACTTCAACACCGGTTTCAACATTGAAACCAATTTTAAGAATATTAATCAATTACCATTACAAACAGAATTAACGCTTATTAGGTAACTAACATACAGATATTTTAGAATAAAAACCATACAAAGTATTCTTCTGGAACAACTATTATGCAGAAAGATTCAAAGATACCACACTGTTCATAAAGTAGAGAAGTGTTCAAATATGTGAAGGAACAAATAACAAATTGAAAAAAAAAAAAAAAAAGAATAGGCATGAGCACAGGTTACAAAAGTATTGGAAAAATAGATGAAGGAAATAATTTAGCGACCGAAAACCTTTGCACCTTTTAACATCATATACCGTTCGATAACAAAAAGGCAAATGAAGCTGAAGAAATATGTGGACTTAAAATAAATTAAAACTGGTACATATACTGGAAATTTTACGGAGCCAACACCCTTTTGAATAAAAACTTTAAGAAAATACGTCCCCATTACATACTTATATCAGTGCCGGAGAAAATATAAAGAAAATTAGGCTATAACAACAGACATTAAAACAGAAATAGCTCCAAAAAAAAGAATAATACGCCTATTAAAAATCAAACCAACAAACCTCGGGTCAAGAATTTGAGAAACTGTGAAAACAAACTTGGCAGAGAGTTAAAATTCAAGTACAACATCAGCAATGCTTTTTCTAATGAACCTATGAATTCACTCCTATACTTGGATAGAATAAACTTATAATCTACGAAGATCGGAGCACACATATAAATGACATGAAAATAACAATAATAGAAAGTAAAGAATAATAGAAGCTCATCAACATATAAAAATCTGTACTCAGTTTCCTATGCAGAATTATTCCAAACATTACAAAAAGGTTTGTGTTATAAGAGAGCTTAGAAGCGATGCTTCATATTGCATTGTCTGATAGCGATATATAAAATAAGAAATTCTAAAGAAGCAAAAAAAAAAAAAAGTTTGAATAGTAATCAGCCATCATCCAGTCATTAAACAGTTACTGTTTCTTCTTTCTGTTGATCTGCATGTGGAGGCTCAGTCGCAGTTTGTTGATATTTCTTCTTATAAGGAAACAAACTATACATGAAAATAGCTCCAATGACAAATACGGTACCAACAAGAAACAGAGCAGCTGGGCGGAACTGAAAAAGCACTGCAGATGCGATGCAAGCTACAATGATGGCAATAGATGCAGCAAATGCCTTCAGAATATTATCGGCGTATTTTATGACAACAGCAACAGTAATACCACCGATCGACGATAACATAATCAGACACCAAACCACAATATCAAAACCAACTAACATACCCTGTTCTAGCACTCGCCTGCTATCCTGTATCTAAAAATGTCAAAAATTGGAAGAAATATAGAACAAAAATTGGAGTCTTAACAAACTGCGCACAAAGGAAGAGCTGCTATGCACTACTTCACTGTCACTTATTTCCAACACAACTAATAAGAAAATAAAATTTTCCTATATTTTTAGTAAAGTTGGAAAACTAAGGAAATGAAAACCTACGAAAACATTGGCCAAAGCGACTGGAAGTGAGATAATCGCAAGTTGCACATTTCGAATCCATACTGACACATCCGAGTCCTTCAATATTTTCTCCAAATATATACCGGAAAATCCTGCAGTGATTCAAGTTAGAACTGGAAAAATTAAGAAAGCAGAAAAACCAAAAAAAAAAAACGGAAAAAAATTAGGTCGCCTAATTTACTATGTATGGTCACTTTTTCAACACATAAAAAGCAAATCGATGCCATATGAAAGCAATGAGAACATTGAAAAAAAAAAGTCAAGCCAGTAAGGAAACCTCCGCTATAACATCGACGGATTTTGCATTCCGATTTGCTTACCTGATAAAATACATGCGACTAAAACAGCAGCGAAACCATTGATAGGATTTTGTTCTACAATATGCTTGTAAGGTGTTCCCGATTTTGCACTTTTGGAACTGTCGTCTCGAATCGATGTCATGTTTTCCTTAATTACCTTCGTACTGGCTCTTTGATCATCCTTTAAAAAATTGTTTTTAATTTTATTACTAAAAAATATAACATTTATGGTACTAAGAAAATATAACATTTACAAAAAAGATGAAATCTAGCAGCTGGAAAAGAAATCTCTAAGCGTATAATATGTTCATAACCAAATAAAGATCAAAAACCGCTTAAGAGTAAAAAAGACTGAAAATTTACCAACTGAACCAATGCGATTCCTCCAAAAAGCAAAACGAGTGCCAGCCATTGCAGCAGTGAAAGACGTCTTCGAAGAATGGTTACAGTGAAAAGTGCTGTTGTAAGAATCTTAAGCTGATAAGTTACCTAAAAAAGAAAAAAACAGGACTAAATGCCAACCGCCAAACTCAGCAGAAGCTACTCCCATCACAGTTTTCATGACATGGACAAAAAAAAAAAATAGAAAAAACTATCCAACAAGAACATTTTTAAAGCACAAACAGCAACAGCGTCTTTAACATCATGTTAAGCTGTAATGTCATATTTAACAATTAAAATACTGATTTAGAATAGAATGCTTCAAAGACAAACCATATAAGTTGCTGCAGGTAAATTCGATACAGCAACATAAAGCAGATTGTTTTGAATAACATATATCACGGCTGGCACGCATACTTTCAAAGTATCAATCGGTTGCTTGATTATGTCTACATACATTACTTTTAAACATCTGGAAAAGAATCACGATACTTACAACAATCAGAATACGATTATGACTAATCCTTTAGGAATTTGAAAATATTCTTAGCATTTATACGAAGAGCTGGTATTCTTCTTGAGTATGGGCACTAACAATCAGTACACTGAAATCTATTAATGAGAAAATTACTGACATCTCAATTATCACGCTCCACAACATACACTCATTCTACATCAACATTCCACACCCTTCACTTAATGGCGAATTTCACTTTTGTGAGTAAACTTTTGCAAGCAACGTAAATGCCATCCCTACTTAGACCAAAATAGTAATGACATTATCCAGTTAACCTTATCAAACTCCTTTCCTGGATGGTAAGGAACAGAATGCAAATAATCAGTTTGACAACTTCTGCGAAAAAAATTGCCACTGTCGACAGGAACATTTCACGCGGTCGCGTTCGAACATACCGCATAACTAGTACTTGTGATGCGTTTTGAATCACAAGGACTATTAAACTCACATACTTTATTGCTGTATCTGAAAACAAATACAACAATCGGTTCGGAAAAACACAGCAAAAAACACCTCAGGCAACACTTCACGAGAAACTATTGGATAATTGCTTCCATAAGCTTTTTTCAAAAACGTCCAAGTAACTACCTTTTTTCTCTGCACTAGCATATTTTCTGATCCAAATTCTTCCACTGTCTTGTCTCCCATTTTCACCACAAGATGACATCCTTCCTATCTGTAACAAAGAAAATTCAAATCTCTGATCAAAATCCCACAATTCTCATAAACTAAACACTAAACATACGTCCTCGCCATATACACGACACATTTACCATTATTTACCGGTACAGCTGTGCGATCCAACTCCATATAAACCAGAAATTCCTGATGGAGGAATTCCATAACTTCCATGGAGGAATTCCATAACTTCCTTGCAATAATGATTCAATCGTTAAATGATGATATTTTATTTCTTTTAGTCAACTCATCAGTGAACAAGGAAACAGAACTTGCTGCCTAAACAAGAGAGTTTATTTGAACTTTCTAGACACTTCTCAGAAGATCTACTAACTTTCTATATACTTTTTACTTGGTACTATTTCCATCCCATGATGAGAAGACCCTATCGATTTTTGGAAGAAACAGTTCACTTCAGTAACTGGCCAGTTTCTCACACAACCACACTCAAAGATTATTAGAATCTTTACAGCGTCAGTAGCATTCCGTATTGCTATCAGAACACTTCGCACTTTTAGAAAAGGACCTCAAAAACCGCAAGCAAAGTCTTCAATTCAATGTCAAGAGAGAAGGAATATATTATCAGTTGTAGACATCAGAAGTTCCAATGATATAGAAAATGGTCGACCACACTAACCATGACAAAATGATACCAACACTGAACAGCGCTTATGTACTTTTCATCTTACAGGCGGGTCATTCGGTTACTGTGCAAAGCAAAACAATCCCTAGCAACAAGCAGCCCTCGCAGAAACCATTCTTCCTGTTACGTCGCTTCTCCATCTGTTCATCTGCTTCACCACTCCCATATCGCAATGACATCGGCATTCCTTCTTCTGGGCAATTTCTAAGCTCCACCCAGTGTAAACAAAGAAATTCGTGACTACGAAAAAGCTCTACACATCGCCGTATGCTAAGCCTATCATGTAAATTGAGCATACAATAGTTTATCAGTCTCCAACTACGCAAACCCGGTGTATTCTACCATGTCCCCAATAATCAGATTTTGATAAGAACTTATTTTCACAACTAGCGAAAATAATAAAGGTATCAGAAGATAGTGAAAATATAATCATTATTCATTTGAAATCAACATTTGACAGTACACAATGAGAAAAAGCGATTTCAATTTATTTCAACTTTCAAAGTGTATAATATTTCAAAAAAAAAAAATTACACAAATTGAACATGTAAGAAACATAAAAAAAAAAAAAAGTAGTGATATCTTTAATACAAACCATAAAAACAAATTTCCGATATCTGTATCAGGAATCACATAAATACATCCGATATATTGCTTCGTGCTCACGACAATCAAATTGCGGTACGAAATTTACTTTAACGATTGATGAGAATCCTTCCGATAATTTCGGTTCCTTAAACAAATATTCATAAATGATTGACACCTCAATTATTATCGAATTAACTTCGTCGACTTGTGCTGAAAATCTATTTTGCTCTGCATCTTTATCAGCACTTTCCAGAGAGCACAACATCTCAGCATGTCAATGAGCACTTTTGCCTCTCATAGATACAAAGCGGAAGCGATGTGAACTGTTCAATATCTCTTCACTGATCAAAATTTATAACCAAGGAACTGAAAGCATACCTCAAATTTTTTTTTGTAACCATTAAGTATCATTTGGCCAACTTCAATTTGTTTTTCTTCAGCATCAACAATGACACGATATTTACAATTATGTGCTGCTTGTTCTAATGTACAGTTGAACAAAAAGCACCGCAAATCAGCCCCAAATGATTTACCAAGATTGATATATCGTTTTCTGACGCACAATAAAACAATGTAAAGGATAGCACAGCACAGTAATTACACGTAATACAGATGTAATAATATAATCCTATTTTAAATAAAAATCAGGAGGGAGTTGCAAATTGTTTTAAAATTTATGTAATGAAACATACTGCTTCTAAAATCTTTTAATTTTGCTAAGCTCAAAAAATCTAACCATCTAAATCAATAATATATACTGATTTTACAACTCTACGGCAGAGGATGTCAGAAAAGGAAATAAATATAAGCAAGATAAAACCTCGATTCTCTGTCAGCATTAGTATTATCGACAATAACATTTTGCTGCCGTTTCAAAAGAATTTTTGCATTCTCAACACATTTCTGCCACGTCTTCAATGTGTCTCGATTCACTATACCATATCCGTGTTCTACAGCTAATTTTTGAGCAAGACTACTTTTACCACACCCAGGATAGCCAACGAATATGAGTACTTCCAAACCATTACCTGGTATTGGAGTATTTTCTGAAACAATGTATGGGAAATTATGTCTCCAAAAGAACCGGATTTTTATGAATTTGGGAAAAACAAAAAGTTTAGGCTTTAGCAACATAACAATCTACCTTACCAGTTAAGCAAAGAGAAAAGTGTAAGGATGGATAACATAATAATGAAACTATCAAGACATCAAGAACACCGCTGTTTGTGCTGCTAAATAACTCCTACCCCTTTTACATTAGAATATCCATGTTATAGATTCTGTTATATTAAACAAAGAAATTCGCCGTTTACATAATACTTCAATTAAGGAACAATAGAGAAGAAAAAAGGGCAAACCTGGATCATACAAGCTAACTTTTTGATCCAACAGAGATGATGGTGAAAAAGACGGTAATATATAATCCTCAACTTCTATCTGCTTCAAGAAATATTGTTCTGGTGTGAAAAAGTTAACACCAAAATTCAAAGCAAATAAGCGATCAGCAGCTGAATGGTCCTTTTTTTTTCGAATCTTCAAATGAATTGGATCCAACTTAATATTTCCATTCAGAAATCGCTTAGTAGTTATTATTTGATGAAAACTGAGCAGTATAGATAAATGAACAACGAGAAAAAAAAAAAAAACGAACATTCGTTTGTATGCGACCTGCAGCGTCACCAACATAAAATGATGACTGGCGATTGATTGAAATACCGCCATTTCCATGGCTTTCAAAGTAATTCCACATACCAACATATGGCTTACGGTAATGCAGTGTTCCCAAAGAAACAAATACCTTAACAAAATGTATTGAACAATAACTTTGCATTATGTTTCCAACAGCCACTATAAAGTATAATGATCCCCACAGTATAAATTTCCAGTATTGAGAGTTACTGAAGAAATAGTCATAATGATTCATTTTTCCTTTTTATTTACTAGAACAGGTGACAGAAAATATGTCCGCAGTTCCCATGTCGGCATTTAACATATTAATGCATAGGAAATAGATATTCTGCACGAAATCGGTTCAAAAGTAAATCGCTAAAACACTAAGTGAAGCACACTGAGAAAACCGTTAACAAAGTCAACGAAACTACAGATGAAAATTTGATGATAATTCTAAATCCCTGTTCGTAGTTTTTGTTTTATCTTTTCCCCTTTTCATGTCTGTAAAATGAAGTGCATAAAAAAAAATGCCCTGAAAGAAAAAAGAAAGATGTATGTCTTAATGATTGATTAAGGGTACAAGATAAAAATGCAAGTTTAAACTCGTTAAAAAAAAAAAATTGCAAAAAGAACAACTTAGTTCTCTAACTGTAAACATGCGAAATATGTGTGTACACGACAATGCCTAGGCCAGTCTGTGTCATATCTACAAATCAGTGTTCTCTAATTCTAACGATTATAGAATATGCATCAAATTAAACTATCCTAATACCAACACTGGATATTTTTCGTTACGAGGTTAATGAAAACAATATTCAGTCTTTTGAAGATGAGGCTAACCAGTCCGTAAAATTTAATTTCTATATCTCGCTGAAAGAGCTTAAAGAGATACCTGTATGGGAAGCTTGATTTGTTGACACACTTTCTCCACTTTTCTGCAGAAAGCATCACAATCTTGAGAGCCCGTCTATAATTAAAGAACTAGAAACTGCCCCTTATAGTGGTTCCTTTTGAATGATAATTCACAGTAATATCATCTCACTAAAACGAAGAGAATTAAGCCATATATATTTTACTTCATTCATAAAGGAAAAAAATTCTGAAGATAAATTACTTACTAGTATACCTCGCTGATTTGTAAAGATCACCACTTTGAAATTCTTTTCAGCAATTTCGGCTAATGTTTGTGGTACGGATTCGCAGAAAAACTGCCAGTCATATTCACTTTCAGGAAACGTCTTGCCTGATTTCGTTACTACCACGGTGCCATCTCAAGCAAAATTATGTCAATAAACAGGTCCGACTACGCTTTACAAATTTAGCCACAAAGTGTGAAACATTATTTGCATTGCACAAACTTAATTTTTTTTAAACGAAACTCTGAAATGACGCAAACAATCATAATATTCTAAGTACATTAATCGTGATCAGCTAATTTGTCGAAAACATGGTACTAACCACATCAACTGCATATATTATGTATATCCCATTTAAGTAACAACGAGCACATACAAAATACTGGGACTATAGGGATCCATCCACAAAGATCCTCAATCTAATAACATGTCGCCTCACAAATTTCAATGCACCTTTCCTGGTCTATCAAATATTTGTCCTTTTCCACCTCTCGACCTGACAAATTTAGTGCTTCAAATCCAATCGTTTCTAGCATTTTTTTTTTCTTTTCCTTTTTTTTTTTTTCTTTAAGAAGAAAAAATCGTTCGTTTATTGATAAAATATAAGTGAATGCAGTAAGCTGAAAGAAAAAAATAATAGTATGGGAATGGATTAAGGAAATTGAAGCACTTACTATAGCCTGCATCTATTACTGAATACAACATATTTTTGGAAATAAGGTGCACGGAAGTGTTGTCTTTCATGGCACTTACACACTTTGCATCGTTAAATTAGGTATTATGATTGAACTTTAGTAACCAACCAAAATCAAAAGCTGCTACATCTGCACAGTGATTAGTGCTACCGAAATCAAGGACTATAAGATCTTTGCCAACACAATACCATCGAACGCGTTCCTCATTTTCGCCATCTTTTCGATCTAAATTTTGAAATATGATATACATTGGTGAAAATGTGGTGATTTGTATTAGTTAAAGAAAGAAAAATTGCACAATATCAACATCAGCAACATCAATACCGTTAAGCAATAGTTGCAAACCTTTTTCGCTGCTAGTTAACCAGTCATGCATAGTTGTACAAGATCGTTTAGTCATCATTAATTGTATTACTTCCGAAAAACACCTGTTCCTAGAAGACACCCATGCCCCACATTCAGACTTACGAATCTTGATTTCACTGTCGACAAGAACAGAACTGGAAAACTCCTGACGACTGCCGGATATCTGGACAACTTCCTGGCCGGCCGCAAAATACCCACACTGCAACATTAAGCAGACTATAGAATCCGCTGTAGAAAAATATTGTGTGTTGTGGTTTGGTGTAACAGTGAAGGAGTGGCGGGCTGTGACAGTGGCTGGAGCAGTAACATCGCCTTGTCGAGATTAACTTCTCGTCTACGTGAAACTGCGAATTTATTGTTGGTTGATCATATGACAAAGTTCACGACGGCGGAAAAATTTTATATGCCAATAATCTAAAATTTTTTGCTTCATTGACTGTTTGAGACAAAACGGAATAAAAAAAAAAAAAAACAGTAATTTTTTTTTGTTTCTGATGAGAGCTTTGTCAACAATGGGTAGAGAAATTTCTTCCATCTGTAATAGTTAAATATTAGTTATTTATTCCTCATCATTTAAAAATGATGAGGGACTATTCAAAAAACGCTAAGAGTCACTCTGGAATTGGGCAAGACAGATACTGGTTCAACTAGAACATATCATATAATGTTTCCTGACAAATTACGGTTTCATAGATCTAAAGAAAGCAAAAACTGAACTCAAATTTTCCCAGTTAGATTAAATCTTCCAAGGTTTAACGCCATATTCCATCTCTTTATTGTCATAATTTTTGTCAACACTTATTTCTTTCTCAGATAGGAACGTCAATATTTGTAGCCAAAAATAGACTGTCGAACAAATTCAATTTTTATCTACATTTTCAATTTGAAACGAATGGTTTTATGCAGTTTGTACAGCGATGCATATGTTTTATCAACAAAAAAAAAAAAAAAATGATAGCTCTGGAATTAGCCTTGTTTATTACAGACGAATACATTCTTCTGATTACTTGGTAACGACCGAAGTTCCAATAATTTGAAAATTCTGCGATTTACGAATAACATTAATATCACTTCGCTCCAATAAACTTAGCATGCCGTTTAAAAGCAATATAATTTTAAATCTGCTTTTCAATTATTTTATGGCAAAGGTCTTTTAATCTATTCACCTTCGAGGTATTAGACAAAACAATCTTCAGTAGTTAAGCAAATAACAGCTAGAACTGGAAATTTCATTGTATATCTAATCGAATATACGAATTTGAAATTGGCTGTCAGTAAGATCGAAACTATGTAGATTTGTCGGCCAATTATAAATAGTCTTCCTAACGATTTAGTTTTCTAACTTACTTGAAGCTTGTAGTAAGAACAAGCAAGTATCTCACATTGCGACGAATTTTATGGATTTGGAAAAATTTAGTTCAAATTATTCAAATAACAACTCAATCAATATATAAGAATTGAAAAATTTAAATCTAATAACAGTTAAGGATAATTAAAATTGAGGACAAAAATACGTGATAAGGAACTGTACTTTCAAAATTTTAATTCCAACTCTTCAAAATAGTTGCGAAGTTCTCTATTCATTTCATTTCGATTAAGAACTTGCTTGATGAACTTTCGCTGCAAGGTCATGCTGCTCCATTTCACTTCTATGATCAGTTATCTATCAAAGTCTCAAAGCTGTTTGAATTTAGCGTTTACTTTGCAGCCCAATTCTTATAATTTCTGCTAATTTCAGGGCATCGACAGCAACAATCAGAGCCAACTTCTATCTTCACCGCCCCTTCCACATCTTTTCCGATCTTTGACGAAAGTTCATTGAAAATTTACTTCCAGTTTATTTACTTGCAGTACAGTGCTGGCCTTGGTTTAGTTTTCGCCTGTACCTGCGTTCACTTCATAATTTACACTATATTTGTAGGTATTATAGAAAATTTGATATCTAACACTAAAAAACTTTAAATTTCATTTTTCATCTGTCGTTAGAGATGATTCTTCAAAAAGGATGAAAGAAAAGACTTCTTAAAGATAACAGATCTTTGAGGATTTTTATGGCTACGTAGGTCAATGGAAACTTATTCGAGGCTTTTGAAACATTTTCTATGATATTGTAATCATTTACTACTAAACTTCATCCTTTTTTTTTCTCATTTTTTCTCCTGTTAAGTTCAAAAGCTTGAAGGCAAGTATTTCTTGAAAATAAGATCTTAGATATGGGTAAATTTATATTGTTGGTGGAAATAAATTTCTTATGGGAGTTGATTAAAAAGTTTAGTAATGCTCAGAATTGAGATGAAATCAAGCTTTTGAAAGATTATAGATCGAATTAATGTTAAACTTGTAAAGTCATTTAGAAATTCATTTCTTTTTTTTTCTTTCTGTAAAGTCATTTTCCGAGAGATTAAGATGTGTGACCAGAAGCCACTGTTGAGATAGGATCTTCATTCTTTGTTTTTATTCATTCCATTCATTTCCACTGCAAGCATTTTCCATGTACTTCTGTTTCTTTATGGTACTTATACCAAATATTCGGAAAATTCTGAGAATGTGTTCTTTAAAAATGTCAAAATCAGCTAGCTAACATTTCTCACTTGAAGTTAGGAAATATTCATATATGGTTAACAAAAGGAATGAAAATATCATATAAGATTTTAAATCAATTTCAGTTTCCCAACGAACTAATTTAATAATATGAATAATATTGAGGGATAATTTTCCATAGTGTCGTAGTCCTTGAATACTTTTTTTTTTCACGTGGAATTATTGTTCATAAGTAAACAAATGTAACTGCATAAAACAACATATGAATTGTTATTTCGACCTTTCTATAAAGTTTCGCACTCTTCAAATTTTATTCTTAATTTAGAGGCTCTATTTGAATACATACTGCTACAAATACTACTGCTTCGCATATTTCATACTGAAATGTCTTGTATACTGTTCATATATAACATTACGTTTCAGTTTATTAACATGATTTATTTGACATCCTTGTAAAATGCTTTAACAACCAGTCATCTTCGTTCTTTAATTAGTCTTTTATCATTGATAATCTAGGGCCTTCAAAAATAGTCGCAAAGTGATCATTACCTGTAATATCTGTACAAATAGAAGCTTGAATAAAAAATAGGGTACAGAATTAGAATTACATTAACAAAACTGATAATTTTTTTGACTAAATTAAAGATTTTTATCCCAAATTTTCTTGAAAAAAGGATTATAATTGTATAGAAATTTATTTTTCCCTCAATATGTTGCTTCATCAAATAACATAGAATGGATTCAGATCAAAATTACTTATTAGTCACTATTCTTTTGAGCACTAAATTTCTTTATTTTCAAGTTTTTGTGTGAAGTTTTAGATAAAATCTACATAAAAGATTTAAAAAATTGATGTATTTTCCATAAATATTACCAATTACATTAATTATGAACCAAATGGTTACAGCATAACTTAATTTACATTTCTTAATTACGAACTCCTCAGGTCATTTCAGTATTGAATTCTCTTGAATGTAATTCTCTTGAAATTATCTCAAGCTCATTAACCTAGCATTAAACATGACGTTTTGTTTCCCAAAGATTCGAATATTAATTTAATAAGCATAATTTTTTGTCTTATAAAAAATTACAAAATGCAAAAAAGGAAAAAAATTAGGAAATTCTGTGGTATCCACAGATTCATTACTGTAAACTTCAACTAAAATTGAATTTCAGCTATAGTTATTCATCGGATGTACTAATACAACTGGCTAATATCAGCATTTTCCAGAAATACAAAATTAGTTACATATAATTATATTAAGAAGTCTTATGATTGCGGTATTGCTCTGATATACAGTCACAATGACTATGAATCGCAAGCAGCAAATCACTGTCAACATTTTCATTTACATTTATTTTCTTACGGTGTGTTATTATTTCTTACTTTAATCTGTCATGTAATCTTAAGATTTTTCTGCTCATGATTTTTATTATGCTTAAGTATGTAGCAATCCTTTGGAAGCTAATGCATCATGTATGAACTGAAACAATGTGGCACCATGTCACATATTGGTAATCAAAATCATAAAAATTGTAAACAAGAATATTCTTTTGGGAAAATTCGTAGCACAACCTATTATTTCAGCTATTCCTTGCTATTCCTTTATTTTTTATTTTTTGTTTTGAATTTAGTGAAGGAATTATGAAATGCTACATTTGCAGGTATATAGAGTATCTGGCACTACAATTGATAACGGAGTAAAGGGTTAATTTGCTTTTGTATTTTTGCTAATAATGTTGAAGATGGAAAACGTCAAAAAAAAATTCTAGATGCTGAAATATTTTCAAGAATAGAAACATTAGAACTTAGATCGTAGATGAATCCTAAAAAATTTTGTACCTCAAAAAATTTTTTCAAGTCTAAAATCACTCCATTAAGTCCTATGTCCGTGAAGTTTTCAAAAAAAATAATAAATCTTTCCTTTTTTTTTCGATTGAATCGATGCAGCCGTTTGCAGGTGAACCGATATTAGAATGTGCAGCAGATAGTATGTCTATCACTTTTATGACAGAAAAAGAATTTGAAGGACATGTCTATGTGAAGGGCCACTATGATAATAACTTATGCCGAACAGATGCTACCCTCAAAAAAGATGTTAATTTTACTGTACCCTTCTCCTTATGTGATGTACGAAGGCAACGTTCGGTTTGTCATTCGATTCTTCAACTCAAAATTTCAAAACTTATTGCAGTAAAAAGATATAAAATATTTCGTTTTCGTAAATAAAGCAACGAAGAACAATTATATCGTAATAGTTACAAAGAAATGAATTTAAAAATTTTTTAAACTTAATTAGTTGTATAACAATCAGCGGTCTTTCCAGTCTACACATTGCATTTTCAGAGTAATCCACGAGGTCTGTATGTATGCATGACTGTCATCATCACTTTTCATCCGGTATTTTCTTCTGCTGTTTAAAATTTAAAAATTACTCTAAAGCCAATAAAACACTAATTTTTCTTTTTGTTGCAGATGTTTATCACCAAAATTGATAAATCATACAACGTGAAATGCTTTTACATAGAAACAGATCGTACTGTGACAACACGTCTTGATGTTAGGTTACTTTATGAATCCTTTTTTTATTTTCTTTTGAAAAATAAAATAAAAAAGATTTTAAATAATGATGAGCAAAACTAAATTAGAAAAAAATAGATATGCTGGACTTCAGCTCATATTCTTTAGCTTAAATAGTGAACAACAAAGGAAAATCGTTGTAATGATTGGTGGCGATAAACGTCAAGTGAAAGCGCTTACCAATCGTAGTAGTACAGTTGATGATTTCGAGTAAGTTATTTCTGTTGAAGTTACAGTTATTTCTGTTAAAGGGTAAAATAAATTTTGCAAGTTTATTACATAACTGATGCGATATTTTTAAGAAACTCCTTTTTCTGATTTTTTATTACATTTTTTTTTCTTTTATTAGTTTATGTTATTAAATCACCTCGAGATTTTCCAATTACATTAGTAAAATTTTTAGGAAATTCGAATGTAAGTGCTAATAATGTAAAAGTGTTGAATGAAACCTAATAATTGTTGTTAAATGGTAAAAATTTCCAGAAGTGACACACTTTCAAACGGAGTGATTACACAGCAGATAGCTCTTCCAACTTGTCGATATCAGGTTCTTATGGACGGACCACATGGTTCCCCTGTGAAATATACAACTGTTGGAGAACAGGTTTATCATCAGTGGTCGTGTGCAGACGAAGATGGAACAGTTCCAGGTTGAGTCTTCTATATTTCAGCTTATAGAAATGCTGAATAGTTTTGTTTGCACTTATTTCTTTGCTTTCATGGCAAATATTTTTCAAAGGAACTTCTGAACTATAAAAATCATAGGTGAAGTGGCCAAGGAAAATCCTTGAACTAATTTACATCTAAAATGATTAAACATTGCCATTTTTTGTTTATTGCAGAAACAAATTTGTACTGCACAACCGTTCATTCATGTGTAGCTAAAGAAGAAAATGGAAAAGAGGTTCAGTTGTTAGACGAAAATGGATGTGCTGTTGACAAATATTTATTGAACAATTTGGTTTATACATCCGATTTGACCGGTGGACAGCTGTCCCAGGTAGTAATACTTTAATCTCATCAGCTTTGCAAATTTGTTATTGCATATCACTACCAGAAAAAGAAAAAGAGTGAATTAGAATATATTAAAAAGTAGCAGTTGTTTTAAGTTAAAATTAAACCATTGGGAAATCTGTGTTCAAATTTTTCCCTTTTCGAATTTTCCCCCTTTGCTACTGAAGAAATTAGCCATTGAAATCTTAGACTGAATCTTTAATCATCATTAATTAGTGGTATCACGGTATCACGATTTCTTTTCAGGTATTTAAATTCGCTGATCAATCATCGCTATATTTTCACTGTCAGATACGGCTCTCATTAAGACGTGGAAGTTGTAAGGTCTATCCTATGATTATTTTATATGAAACGATCAAAATTTAAGAAACTGATAAATTTTTCTTCCTCTAATAGTGAAGGGATTAAGTATGTGAAAAATTATTGTAGAGAACAAGCGACAATTGTTCAATTGGAAAAGTGAGGAGTAAGAGGGAACTGTCAATTGCTTCCCAGTACAATGATGCCGATGCAACAGTGGTTGATGTGTTTTCGCAGTTGATGACGGTGTTTGATATAGATGATCCAATAAGTACTTCATAGTTCATTTCTTGAATGTTTCACGCATTTAGACAAATGTTAGCTGTGTATTAGTACAGGAATCAGGATGCCCATTTTTAACTTGTATAGAGTTAACCGAAAGTTACATTCCAAATTTACTTTTACTTTGCTAATTTCTAATTATAAGAATTGTTGTCGATGTATGTTTATGAACTGTGGTTGCAGATGCTGATTCACTACAACGATTTGAATCGAAAGAGCTAAAACATGTAACAATCTGTTTAACACCGATGTCGTTCAGTTTCCTGTTAGCACTCTTTACCACCGAGCTCCTCATTTCAACCTTATCAGTTATTGTTCTATATCGGAGAACTTGTTATAAGCAAGAATATTGTACAGAATGATGAGCAAATCCGGACGATTAATCCCTAATCGTATTCCTGCAATGTGTTGCTACTTATCATATCCATTATTTCATTTCTTTTAAATTTTTGTGATCTTCAAATGTTCAGGTTGTTCTTTTTTCTCCTTTTCCACATTGAGTTAGTTAAAGATACAGGGAAAAAGGATATGACAAATCACCTCGTTGGTTATTGAACTTTGTTCAAGAGCCAACATATATGGCTGTAATCCGGACTTATTGCGCAATGATGCTTTGCCGTAATAAAATTAATAATCATAATCAAAGTAGTTTATCCCTGTCGAAAAATCAGAAAAAAAAATATTTATTACACACTAAGTGTTTAGAATAATTCTAATGATTCATCACTATAAACCAATTCGTTATTCCTTTGTTATATCCACTTTTTTGAAACAATGAATTCTTTATCTAACCCTCAAATAGTAAATGTACATCTGTCTTCATTGTAAATGTCAATCCACTAAGCCAGCCCACTTCCTACATCTTTAAAAACCTCTAATTATTTGGTAAAAAAGAAACGATCGCTGGCAGTTTTTTCATCCGCCTACTCAGCAGTACCATTTATTCCTTCACTGTTTCAATTATTCGACTGTATATTGTATCGATTCACATTTATTAAAAAAAATAAACGATAGTTAGTCGATCTTGCTCGCAGACAGAAGCAAAAGGTTCAAGTGAAGTTTTTCAAACTTAAAGTAAGTCAAGTGAACTTAACTAACCCAAAATCATCTATTCTTCTTACCAACTTCGAATTTATGAGAAGCCCTAAATCCCTATTTGTTTGATTATGCATAAAACTGTGGTAAAAGTAAATTGATATGGCAGTGATACTGACGTGAATGATAATGATAAATGATTCGAAATGTTTGTTATTTGATTGGTGGGCGAACAAAATATACTTTCTTTACTTTCTTTGAAGTATTGTAATTTGATAATTGATAGAAAAACATGTCGAATATTTTTATCATCTTCGTTTTCTTTAATATTTCATATTGAAAGTCTGAATCCATCATCATCCATTTGAGCGCTTCTCTATTCAGAAAGAAAAAGGAAAAAAAAAAAACTATTCTGTTGATACACGTTAAAATAAAGTAAATTATAAAAAGCTGTATTGAGGTGCGTTGTGTCAAATAAAATTGCATTAATATTGTATCCAAGAAAAAAACAATTCCTATTTCTAGTAGTACTATGAAATTTTGATCCAAGATAGATACCAGAAAAGTCTTGTACAGCGTTTTGATGCATTGGGATATAAGAAATTCCGCTTACGATTCCACATTTGTTTGTAAACTTTATTTATTATCCACAGAAATCCACAAATGATATTTCAGACAATATTATAGTATCTATCTTTTTGTTTATAATTTCAAAAAAAAAAACTATCTTGAAAGTTTAGGAAGGACATTTATTATACTATCTTCTAAGAACCCAATACTAACGTATCGTTTAACGGAAAATCTGAAGGGAACATAAAAAAAAAGTTATAACCCAACCATCACTTGAAAGAAAAATTGGGATAGCTCTTCTGAACGGAAATATCTAAATAATTGTTAATATTGGAACATAATAATCATATAATAACAGTTAAATAAAGTGATTAAAGGATAAGTTAAAACTAAAAAGAATAGGGAAAGTTCAAGCAGCAACTTAATTTTCGGAGCATAAGCCTGCTAAAATGTTTCATTGAAGAGATGTAAACACACAACGAACTAAAAAGTACGAAATTTACGAAAGTATCAATGAGTGATGGCAGTTTTCGAATTTCACATTTCATGGTAATTATTTACTAATTTCTTTTAATGCTGTTTCCATCTCGCTCTGCAACGAAAGCGTACAATTAATTACTCATTGACAAATTGTTTAACCGATTATTTAACTGACATACCGTAAGAAATACTTCAATTTAAATCTATTATCAGTTTCTTTTCTTTATATATAAATAAGAAAATGGTTATCCAGAATTCAAAATCCTCATAAAGTAGAAATTAAAACTTTGCAAATGAAGCAATCTTGAAAATGTACTTGTAGGAGTTTAAGGTCTTTAACAGCATCTAAACGAGTTAATTTTTCGGCTGCATTATTCAATTGTTCCATAATATCGCTGATCTCCTCTTCATTGCCCTTTACTTCACTAAATATGAATGAATAAATAAATAAATAAACAAATGAATACATTAGTTTAAATAAATAAATTAATTAACTAATAAACAGATAAGTGATTAAATAAATAAAGTGTGTTAATGTGATAAACTAAGTAAGCATAAATAATGTCCAGTATTCAGATCAAAAACAAAAAAGAAAACATTTTAACCTGATTTCAACTGTTGCTGCTAGTTTCTGCATTTCATACTTTTTTTTCCATACTTTTATTTCTGCTGCATATTCTAATATTTTCCTATAAAAAGAAATGAAGTTCGATTTCTCAGCGAATACTATCTGTTCATCTGTCAAATCGATAGGTAGGCATTAATGAAGAAATGGAGAAAGAAGTTAAGAAGTCTTAAAATGACTTTACAAAAATATTATAGATTCAAAAAAGACTGACCTTCTAAATTCTCCTTCTGAGCGTTCTTTCTCTCTGAGCTTTAAAGTCAATCGTTTCACTTCTGCTTCCAACGCCTGCAGTATTCATTTTTTAAAAACGTTTTCCACAGAATGAACAAATGACATCATTCTAAAATCGCTTTGTTTGTGATTCATCACATTACTATCTAGCTTTCGAATTTTCCGTCAAATAAATTTGAAAATCTTTCTCAAAAAAATTTAAAGAAAATTAAGTATGTTAAATTTGCACACTTAACTCACTGGTATAAAAAGAGTAACATCTTTCCCTAGTATAGCAGATCATGTAACAATTACTTCTTAAAAAAAAAAAAAATTGGTGCCTTTAAAATTTGAAAATGAACTAACTTCATGTACTAGCTTAAGATTTTAAATTAAATAGTCGTTTACCTGATTTTTTCCTATTAAAGCGATCATTTCTGCAGAATCCTCTTGAGGCTTTGATATTTCATCTGAAAAGCATCTGTTTGTAGCTTCCTGTATATTTGAAAAAAATCTTCGTTCTTAAAAAACTATTTTTTTTTCAAGTGCAAATAAGGTGTGAAGAGACAGCAACATTGCTAGCTTAAATGTCAACAAATAAATTTATAAATTTCTCTGATCCTTGAAACTATTATAATTGCAATTTAGAATGAAGTTAAGGCTGATGACAAATTCTTATACTACTATAAGTACCCACAATATTTTTGAATGTATGAATATTTGTAATAAACAAATTGCTAAAAAATATCAAAATGAGTCTTCTAGAATGCGGATAATATTTCTAAATAAGCAAGTAAATGTTCAATTCCATTAGAAAGTCAAAAATATTTAAATTTCAAATTTTTGACGTGTAGGAAAAAAATCGAATACTAGTTGTAAAAATATCAAAATGAGCCTTATAAAAAATATTCACTTCAATTTTTTTTTTAAAAATAAATCGAAAATCTACAAACTCTTTGTTTCCGGAGAAGCAGGTATATTTTCCGGTTGCTCACACCTTTGTAATACAGCACCATTTTCGATATGATACGAGTTTCGCGTGCTGATCTGGAACCCAAATTTGAAATTTTTTTGAGTCAAAAAAAAGATCTCAGCTGGGTCATTTTAAAATTCTGGTGGAAGTACAATTGAATTTACAATTTCATGCTATGTTTAACTGAAAATCCTATGGCGATAATTTCAACTATGGCAGATATATCAAAGATGTTTTGAAAATTACTTACAGCACAAGCAAGTTTTCAAATGCTCAATAACCTAAATTAAAATAAATTTAATTTAACAGAAGCTTTAGCAAAAGTTGTAAAATTATGAAAACCTAACAGAACTTTGCATTGTAATGATCCCTGTATTTCGCAAAATTTTGGGTAAAACTATTTGTCCTGTCCTCATTTGATGATTTTCCTTGTGATCCCATTTCTGGAAAGAATGGCTTTTAACCTTTTTGTTTTGGTAGCCTTAAATAATCCTAAAAGATAACTTAACAAACATCGACGAAATATAATTAATCAATGTGAATGAAAATTAATTGAAGTTGAATGAATTCAATTTTTCACAGGAATTTTCTATGGAAAGAACCTATTTCATGAAATTGATAAATAACAAACAGAAAATCTATGAATATTAACAACTGTGCTTGAATAAGGTTTGGAAATATTGGAGGAAGATGTAAGATAACGTCGATTATAATAAGTTATGCTGCGCTTTGGACTGTGTATCAGGGATGACGTGGAAGAACGCTGAATGGTGATACTCTTTTCCGTGGACTGCTGCAACGGTCCTGCATACGTACTACTACCATGCGCATTATGTGATAAGGACCTGAATAAAGATTACAAAACTATATAATATTTTCTATTCTCTTTTTGTTTCTCGTAATTTTAGTGATATTATGTGTTTCAAAAATGTAAGAAGTCAAGAACTGTACTCTTAAATCGCATTGCCTGATAAGAGCACCTTCATTCAAAAACATCAAATTTTAAAATTTATCCGCCTCATTAATAAGACTACGAACTCAGAGCTGAACATCTACAACTTAATAATGTGTCAATACATTTCACCATATATTTGTTCTATGATGCTTAACTGGAAGTTTACATTTCTGCTAGTTACATCAGATAAACGAAGATGAAAATTGAACAGAAATTTTAAGACCAATTTATTGATTGAGAAGCTTTTTCCTGAAATTTTGCTTCGATATGAAAAAGCATATTTACCGCTGTAGCAAAGGAGCTCGTCCACTACGAGCTCCAAATGCATAAAATGTCCTTAATGATAATAAAGATCCACTCGGCATTCGAGAATCAATACCTGTTTTCCTGAAAATTTTGCAATTATTATCTTTTTAATCAGCAGCGACATATCATTGAATTTTTAATTAGCAGTGTCATATTATTGAAATTTTTCGAAATTTCGTTTTGATTCAAATGAAGATCTTCTATA